ATGGGAAAACGTGGAATCCATATATGCACGTATCCTTTAATATGTAGATGTTACACTATATGTAGTTTTTAGACAGTGTTGTCAAATTTAATCATTGTTTTCTGTATTTATTTATTTATGAACAGATTGTAATGAGAACATTAAATAAATTATCTAGATAAAATACCTATTACTCTGTGTTGGCGTTTAAAAAAATCTGATTGAACTGTTCAAATTTCGGAATTTTAAGTGCAAAAGAAAACCTTTGTGTGCTCAAGTACGCAATTATCATTAACTGTTTTCGTTTATGCCCAATATTAACTTGATACTGATAGAATTGATTCCAACAGACAATAAGTAACACATTTTTACACAATATTTAGCTAATGATACACTATTAATATTCTTTGGAAAAACCAATACATTTCCTTTCCAATTACCTTGTGGAAACTCTACTGAATAAAGTCAGAAATGATTACTGGTGGTTACACACTTCGGCAGAGAAAGGCACAGTTCCTAATGTTGATTTAAGCTGAACATTTTTTTGTCAGATTTTAAGGTGTCATGTTCCTTTTGACATCATCCTCTAAAATTGTATTCAAGATAGAAGGCTTCCTGATTAAGTGTTGAAAATTGTTGACATCTGTTTTTTGAATAAGTGCCTTGGCTTTTCATGCATCGTTCATATGCTGCAATGTTATATTCTGAATCATACCATGAAATTATATAAATGTATAAGGTATTATGACAACATTTGGATTACATATTCTCTATAATTAGCAACTTAATAACTGAGCAATATTAATTTTTTGGGTGGTGGTGTGGAGGAAAATGTTTAGCATGAAATTTTGCAGTTACAAGAAGATTTCCAGGCACAAAGTCACCAGGATAAATTTTTACTTTGTGCATTGTTGTAAAAATGGGTGTTAATCAATAATCTGTCTTCCAGATCTCTTCATTTCTATTTCCATTGTAGTTGAGTGCTGTCATCTGTTTTATATTATGACCCAAAATAAAGATCTATCTTATGGTGCAGTGGTAGTGTCCCTCTTTCTGAGCCAGAAGGCCTGGTTCAAGCCCCATTGCTGCCAAGGTGTATAATACATCTCCAACAGATTGATTAAAATATTTAAAATCCATCCCGTGATGTTTCTACATCTCACAATCCCTTCCACATGTAACAAGAACTAAAAAGTACGATAATACACTTCATAATAGAACCCATAAAGGAAGAAATTGAGGTTTTATGTTTCGAGTATGACTGATAACACTTTATTGAACTTAATTTGCTTGTAAGTTGTAGAACAGCATTCACTACTCATCCTTAGTCAAGAGAAAGTGCAAGTGGTACAACTCCTTGAACCATATTGGCTCTCTTTTACGATTTTATTTCCACCAAGAGGCTACGTGATTTTATCTTGAGTAAGACTTTCAATAAATTTTACCCACAAGGGATTTCAAACACACTAGTTTGTAGTTCTTGGTCACTTCTGCAATTTTTCTTAAAATAGGAGCATCATCTCAGGCACAGTTCTCTCATTTCTGGAAGATTTGTGCCAAAGTTCCTACCTAGTTTCCATAAAGATTCTCAATTACATCTTACTGGCTTCTGAGATTTATTTACATTTAGTTTGCATAGCTGTTCAATAGCCATGTTGCCAGTCATGTCAATAAATATTAATTACCTCTGCAAGATCTCTAGTTTCCTTACCAGATTAAATACTTTTGCAGCCTGTCCATCACAGGTTTGTCACTCAATGCCACTTTTAGTGGTTCCACTCCATTCCTTTCCACTTTTTCATTATTGACACTTTTTACACAAATTACAAAATTGGTATGGCACAGAAAAAAAGCCATTTGGTCCGTTGTGTCCACATCAATTCCATTATATTTCTTCATTCTTCTTATTCCATTCAATTTCAGTTTATTCTTTGTCATCTAGCTGCCCTGTTTAGCACTCAAGGCATGCCTTTTAGTGTTAAATCCACCTTAATTCTGTCCCATTTCCTTTATGATCTTAAACACTTTCTTTTCTTTGAGGCTTACTTGATTGTTAGTTCTTATATTGGCAGAGTGCTGATCTCACAACTGCTGTGCCCAACAGACGATCTGGATGATGTCAAGCTTCTTCAGTGTCATTTAGGTCACACCCATCATGATTTTTGGGGAATATTCCATCACCATCAACTGATGAAGCTGATTGAAGTGTCAGGAAGTGAGTTTCTGTTGGCAGAGTACACAGCGTCTGCCCTGCTGTTTTAGTCATAGCATTGATATAGATGGACCAGTTAGGCTTCTGGATCAGCTAAAGGCATGCATTTCCAGCATTTTCTATTTTGATTTCAGATTTCCAAATTTTGTTATATTTTACTACCAGTTTACACACCTTTTGTGGAAGTTTCTGCCTTTAGATAATTTTGAGAGACTGAATTAAATCAGTCTGTCCTAATCCTGAGATCATAAATAATTTATGTACGTGTCAAAGAAATATTAATGACCCCCAAAAATCTGGCATTGAATCTATTGGAAATTCTCAGAAAAGCTGAGGTCTTTTTTAAATCACATCAAATGAAAAATGAGTTGGTGACTAATTGTGTTTTTGGCAGCTTGAAAAGATTCATGGTAATCTCAAACTGTTCCTTTTATTTGGCATGATGTGCATCCCTAGTCCAAAAACTGAAGTAGGTTTGCTTTGTTTTGCATCATGCAATACTCACTTGCTCCTTTACGCACAAAAATTGATTAACATGTATTGTATCTAATAGAAGATACCATTTCCAAACACATACTTTCCCATTTAAGGAATTCAAATGAACTTTAGTGGAATAACAGGTTCATTTAAGCATAACTATATTTATTAAAGAAAGATTGGTTGTTTCTTATACTTTTGGCCATTTTACATGGTATTTAACTACCATCAACCAACTCTCCTGACCAATATTTACTCAGTTGTTGGTGTGTGACTGATTAAGTGACTCCAGCATCATTCTTTTAGGTGGGGAGAGGGATGGGTTCCACTTAAAGATAAATTCCAGGGAGTCTACAAATAAGAACTTAATAAACACTTAAATACAAATGAAAAACTGAAAGGATTCAATCCAATGAGTAATTTAGGAAAATAGAGGGCCAAGAACCAGTGGGGTCCATTGAACCATAGGTTATATCTTTAATTCCCTCTGTCATATTACCATTAAAAGAGCTCAAGTTTTGTTTTGGCTCTTCAACCCAGCTTGATCAATTATTCCAAGTCCTTTCTTCTCTTTTTGCTGAGAAGTGATTTTGAGGTAGATGATCAGCTATTATCGAATTGAGTGATGGAGCTGGCTTAACAAGGTTAATGAGGTGGCCTACTCCTGCCTCTGGGTTCTTAGGCAATCCTTTGTCATCAAATGTGAATTGTTTTCACACCAGTTTGACAGCTTTTGAGATGGCTGTTAAATCTGCAAACTCTGTCACAACTGGGGCAGGTGGGACCCAGAAGGAAAAACCCTCTGATGTATGGAAATGAGCGCAAAATGGGTCTGTAAGAACAAGCCTAGGTCCATAGTTATATATCTAAGAAGATCATGGATCTACGTGGAGCAAGACAAAGCAACCCTTAGCTCAACAACAACAGTGTGGAGCTGGAGGAACACAGCAGGCCAGGCAGCATCAGAGGAGCAGGAAAGTTGATGTTTCGGGTCAGGACCTGAAACGTCAACTTTCCTGCTCCTCTGATTCTGCCTGGCCTGCTGTGTTCCTCCAGGTCCACACTGTATTGTCTCTGACTCCAGCATCTGTCGTTCTTGCTATCCCTTTGCTCAACAACCCGTGTCATAGTGATGGGGTGGGGGTTGGCCCATTATTAATGTTCTTCTTGGTTGTTGTAATGGTGTTTCCTACAGTGTTAATGGTCCTGTATTATATAGCCATGCCCTTTCATAATATTCACTTTCAATATAATAGCCTTCAACTTCTTCAATGAGTATAGCAATTGATGTTGTTATATGCATCCTCATCAGTCACACAAATACCTGCTCATATACATTTCATACTTAGTTCCTTTTGTTAGAAAATGTGGAAAATCTGTCTGGCCAACACCTACACAAAGTACCATAGTGAAAGAACTGGCACTATATGTACATTGGCATCATAACGTCCATTTGTAGTGCTGCATCCTGACAGGTGCCATGACCAGTACCACTGACAACATGATCAGTATTACTGGCCCCATAACCAGTATGGGCTCCACAACCAATATACAGTGCAATGGCCAGCATTACCAGCACCATAAACAGCTTTACTCGCATCATAGTTAGTATTATTTGTGGAATACTGGTCTTAAATACCATAATATACTGGTTTTCCACTGGTGCGAATATTTTGTTTATCTTTCAGGTGCTCAATGGGTTGGGCAGATAGGTTGTTTGGAGGTTTCTGTGGTTCCCCTGAGGCCTCAAATTCACTTCAGCACTTTCCCGACAAAGTCTCTTGAGGTATTCTTGAGGATGGTCAATCTTCATTTTAGCTGATGGCCATATTTGACTTCTTCAGGGCCACTTTCAGGGCATTCCCAACAAATATTTCTGCTGTTGTCTTGGGAGTCTCCTAACCGAATGAGTTCTGAATAGATCCTTTGCTTTGGGAAGACTGTTGCCAGGCATATAAACATCATAAAGGCTGTTATGGTGCACTGGTAGTGTCCTTATCTTTGAGCCATGAGGCCTGGGTTCAAGTCTCATCTGCTCCAGAAATGTGCAATAACATTTTTGGTCTGCCTGACTGGAAAAGTATATATAACCAACATGTTTCTGCACAGCAGAGCTGTCTTTGTTGGGTGTAGTGCCTAAATTGTTGCTGGGCAGGTTGGCTTGAGAGAAGATGCTACTTTTGGACCACCTTGAAGTTATGATTGTTATTCTAGCACCTGGATTCCCACAAATTTGATTTTAAAAAGCACAATTGCGCATTATGGCTGGAAAATACCAGCTACGTTGTTTTTGTTTCTCTGCCATCCCATTTCTGCCACCATGGGACTCGAAATGTTTAACTCCTACGGTTTTGAGTTAGTCAGCTTCCGCCCTGATTTCGCCGCCCTTTCTGACCCTCGGGACGTGCCGTCGCTTGGCACCGCTGCCATGGGAGACGGAGAGCCGGGGTGACGCTGAAGGACGCGGCCACGGTCATCACTGAAGTACGGACCGTTTTTTTTCAACCTTTTCCAGCTGGACAATGTGGGTTTCGGTGGCGGTGGGAAGAAGCAGCACTGAAGCCCCGAGGGCCAGTCTGTAAAGCGCGATTTCCTCGACAGGAGAGTGAGCGGGGATGGGGTGATGATAATGGAATAGGAGAAGGGCCAGAGGCCGAGCTCTAGCACCAACCGCCGGCGCACGTGCGCGGGCTGCGGCGTGCCTTCCGCGAGCCTCCTGTGGCACGTGCACCCGCTCGGGCACGTGCGGCACCTGGCGACACAGTGTGCAAGATTTCTCAACATTGGATAAACCAGACTGGGCACTGGTAACCACACTGGATATTGGATAACCAGACTGGGCAATTGTAACCACACTGGGCATTTGGTAGCCAGCCTGGGCACTGAGTATCCAGACCAGGCATTGAGTATCCAGATTGGGCA